CCTGAGGCAAGAGTGACACCTGATAGCAGCTACTTCAAGCTTTAAGTTTGTGAAGCTGTTAATCCTGGCTTGGCATAAGTACCCCCTGGTGGCAAGTGTACCCATCACCCCATGTCAATACAACTAGCACCCACATTTGGACAAGACAGTAAGTAGCAGCCTGTCCCCTAACCACTATCCCATTCTGCCTCTTAGATATGATTCTGGTGGCCAGATGCTGTCCCCAGCAGAGTCTAAACTCCTGAAGACGAAGGACAATTGGATGTGGCGATATGGAGGCACTAGAAGAAATCTTTGCCAGCAGGGGCTTCCATCACCCAATAGAAATGCTCAACAGGAGCTCTACAAAACTTGTGCTCCAAGTGTCCATGATTCTCCCATGGCCAGGTCCTATGCTTACGTTTCACTTCCATTTAGTTAACCATGCACTCAAGCACTCCTGAAGTACCAGGCATCCATTCAGGCTTGCCCAAGCAGCAGTGACCCTGAATCTGCCCCAAACCATGACAAAGCCAGAACTAGTCATTGCTCGGTTATCAACCACGGGAATCCATATGGAGAGCTCCACCTGAGAGAGGCAGGTGATATGGATGAGCTCCTGGAAGGAGGGAGGAAGGAAGCCTTTTAGTTTCTATTTGCAGTTCCCATTACTTCCATTAGCTTCCTGGCTCTATTATACCCAGTGGAAACGTTCACTGAATCAAGAGTTCAAAGACCAGTGGAGCTGCCTATTCCATTGCACAAAGGAGCCCATCAAGAGAACCTGTCCAGCTCTGTACTTTACCCAACCTCCCCATATCCACAGGCAGCAATAGATGACAGGGAGACAAGTGCAGGTTGTACAGGTTTATTTTTCCAATACCAATGAGACATACAAGAGCAGCGCTTTTTTGAGCAGCCCCATGGACCAGACCACTGTCAAGTTTCACTTCTGAGACCCCAAAGGTCTTAGAAGACGACTGGATATGCTTGGCTCCTGCTCCTGGTCTTTGGTAAAGAGACTTTTGAGCACACAACATGAACTTGGCCAATACTGAATTTAAATCACATCACTATCAACTCCTCATTCACACTTGATTGCCCTCCCCCCAAAAAAGACAGCCACCTCAGATGAAATGGGGGAGTGGCAGCTTACAGAGAAAATGAGATTTGCTCAAGGCACACAAATTTTTATACTTCATACAGAAGCACTCACGCAAGGAGACAGCTAAATTAAACAAGGACTCCCAATTTTCAAGTAAAAATACAAGAAAGAGGGTAGGAACTGGGACGAGGTCAGACAAATACGAAGGGTGTCTACTTGATGGCAACGTGTTAGGAGAGAGGCAGGCAGCAGGCATGGCTTTGTTCCCCTGAAACCTACTGTCAGAAGTAAGTCAAAAGGAGCCTAGCAATCCCCAATATTGCTTTGACAGATGATGACCCTGGAGCCAGATCCAGAAGGCCTGTCTGGGGGCCGCCCAAGGAACTCACCCATGAATCCAGAAGCACTTAACACTGGTGATGGCCATTTGTCATATATGGCAGCAGAGCAGCCACTCAAGGCTGGAAGAGAATAGATAGAAGGAACAAGACATGTTTGCTCAGTGGTGTGTGAGCAGCTGTCTGTGGCGCTGTAGGCGGTGGCAGATTCTCTGGTGACAGGTGACAAGGCACAGGGCCAACCACAGGTCACAAGTCAGTAACTTCCTTCTCACATCGGCAGCACAGCACTCAGTGGCTCTGACCATTGGTGCACAGAAGTAAACAACACCATTTAATCAAGGGTGCTGAAGACGTAAATAAAGGAAGAGACGACGTTCATGTTCTCTGTACAATACATCCATTTACAGAATTGGCCAGTACTGTGTACAACATATAAATACAGAATAAAACATTAGAGGTGCATAGAGCATACTTACAGAAGCCAAAAAGTTCACTTTATACATCCAAGAATAGAGTTAAAAATATAAAAATAAGAAACAGACTGCTTGGAAATGTAAAATGACTTTCACATACACAGGTGCATGGGTGCCCACTCCCACAGAGTCAAATGTGACGGGGTGGGTAGCAAGCAGTAGTCACCTGCAACATCTGTACAGTTAACTCTCAAGGTCTACAGATAGCATTTCCATAGCAGACAGCCCTATTTCCAGACCCCATTGTCCAAGAAGGGCTATTCAAGCTTCCAAAAGAATCTGTGGATCCATGGGTTACAGACAGATACAAGTTCCAAACTGGGTGAAGCACCAGAACCAAAGGTCAACTTGGCTCCATCAACTGGCAAATGACAGAAATATGACATCAAGATCAGCAGGTGTTTGATCCCCTGGTGGGCAATGATGGAAGTTACTTTAACCCTGTGTGGCTTCTGCAACCATCAATTCCCCAAGCAAAGTAGAAGACTGCAGGGAGGGGCAGTGGAAGACTGACATTCCTGCTCAATTCAGGCAGCTGAGTTCCAGCCATGGAGAACCCAACCTTCTTGCTTCAATTTCAAGTCCATTTGCCCTGCCACACTATGCTGCCTGACTCCAAGAGGGTTTAGGCTGGCTGGTTGTGGGCAACCACAGGTCTACCCCGCCCCCGCTGGAAACCCTACTAGCAAGACTAGAAGGGTGTCAAGTGACAG